CTCTCGCTTCTGTTGACATTTTTGAAGACTTTTTTCTTCGATAAATGTCTCAAATACGTTCCTGTAGGTAAATCGTCGGTTCCCCTTCTTGGATCCGGCTCGAAGGACCAAATATGGAGAGACTTGAGCCGTATTCCTCTTTATTTTTCCCTTTCTTTTTACAACAAAAACCATGTGCTTTTTTCTCTTCGAGTGTCACCTCGCCTCGATCCCAGGACACCGTGTGGCGCACCACAGAAACCCCATATGGTTTACAATAATCAAAATTTTATAATAACAACAAAATATAGTTCCTTTTTAAGCTCCAACAATTATTACTGTAACTGTTACCACGGATTCACTGGAAGACAATGCGAGACAAGTAAGTTACTGAGCACCATGTAACCATGTATTCTGTTTTCACGAGGTAAAGTGTCGGTATTGCTGGGTTTGGGTTTCAATTAGTTTCAATCAGCTGATAAAAGTATTTGAGTTTCATTATCTGCTCCAAATGATGACCAAACACTGACCACCATGTTGCTGTCAACCAGAAAGACTAAATTCTATTGAAAACTTGCAATTCAGTTGACTAACAATCCGAGAGAGGAAGTACGTCATAGCTGTCCGAGGTGCAACGATTTCCTTTTGTTTAACTGTTTTTGTTATATTTTCCTAGGATTTTATGGCAACATCACATTCATCATGGATCTCTACCAGACTTCCAACTACTCAACACCTTACTCACCTTCTGCTTACCCAGTGGTTGTCTACCCAAACCAGTCTCTGTGGGTTCAGTATGAAGTCAAGAGCACCACTTTTGATCTGGTCGTTTTTGCTGAGAATTGTTGTGCTAACAATTCAACCAATCCAGACTCATTTCCACAACATGTGTTTCTAGAGAGAGGGTAAGAAATCCAAAATTGACATTTCTCTGTTACTGCTCGAAAAGGGTATTGACAATGGTCACTGTAAATGGGAAGTATAATTACCAATGAGATAGCTCCAAGGGGCCGGCATTCATCACTGGGGCCGGGTTTKGGGTCACATTTTTATACCGTCCACTCAATGCTGTTTTTCCCCGCCTCACTCCCACTGATTACAGTCACTGGGAACGGGAAACTAGAATCACCAACATGGGATTACTCCCAGGGTTCATCATAAGGACTGCAGGGGATTTCGATATAGACGGAATTTCCTTGTATCTGTGTGCAATTAATAGACCAATATACTTGGATTTCCAGGTGCATTGTTGATTCGACCATGGTGTACTTCCACAACCCCTACAGTAAAGTCCAACGATTTTCAATCAGATCATTTCGATTTGCCTACTCTAATTCCCATCTGGTTTGTCTCCACTGTGAACTGCTTGTCTGCCATCAAAACTCTACCAACTCCAGATGGTGCTGTTGGTTGTGCCAAACCTAGAAGCCGTCGTGATTCCAGTGATCTGGAAAGCTCTATGCTATATAATTTGTCTGTAGGCCCTTTGAAGGCGGTGATGGCCGAGTCAAACAATGTCAACAAGGAAGGGAAAAGTAAGTAAAACTAATCTCTATTCATGTCAATTAATAGCCCATAGCTTGACAGCTACAAAAGGTACGTTACAAAATAAGAACAGGATTACAAA